GCTTTTATCCACGGCCGCTGAAGTCCCGCGAGTTGGCGGCAGTATACGATCCCGACCAGACTTAGGACGGACCACGACACGGCGCTCCACCACACGAGAAACCCAACGACACTCTCGTACCACAGCGGCTCGGCCAGCGAAAAGTCCTTGAGCCCTTGGACCATCGCTTGGAATTCATCCCAACCAAACGCTTGTCCGTGCTCAAATCCGAACGGCGGCGACGATGGTAGGACCGTGGAGGGCTTGGAAGCGCACAGAAACGACGACGGGATGGGATGCCCCACGTAGGCGAGGGAGTCCATCCAGTACAAACAACGGTCGCCTTTTCGTTGGAGAAGAAGCGATGCCGAGAGCCAACATACCGCCGGCGCCAAGTACTGCATGCAGATCACGGGGATGTACGTGAATGGAACCACGAGTGTATCGACGATGGCTTGAGTGTCGACGCGTCCTGGAAGGAGGAGCTGCGCTGTGACTTTGTGCTTGGGCTCGAGCAAGAAGTACTGAAGGTGACTTCGGAGGCATATGACGCGCACGACGGCCGCGAGGAGCACAACGTGCACGCGAACGTTGCGGAAGGTCGACTCGGACAGCCAAACAAGGCGTCGGTCGCCACAGTCGCGCGGCACGATCCACGAAAAGCCCGACGAACTACTAGATGATGGACACGCGATCGCGTCATCGCCGACGAGGATCGAGCTCGAGATCGGTCGCAGCCATGCCCATGTGAGCACGAATGGCAGTGCCATGTTGAGATGCAGCACCGCTTTCCACGTCTTGGAAATGGCCTTGGACTCGATAAAGTCGCAGTACATTTTGGCAAATCGGAACGCCGGCAGCAACGTAGCCGACGATACGAGGCCAGCCAACACACCGAGCAGAACCATGAACCACACTGACTTCCACACGGACGTCGTCGACGGCATCCCGAGCGCGGCCAAAAGCGCCTGCCACCGAGTGTCCATCGACGCAGCTGCGCCTTCCACGTCAAAGTCGAGCAATTCCAACGCTGGCGGCGCGTACAGACTGAACAGCGCCAAGATCGTGCCAAGGACAGCTACGCCAAGGCCGAGCTGCGCCTCGAACGACGAAATCCTGTACTGGATGAAGAATGGGAGCCCCAGCGACAAGACGAGCGACAGGACCAAGAGGTAGTAGCTCGGATCGGGTGTCTCCGACGGCAAGAATTGCATGTAAGCGAACACGATGACGGCCGACGTGGCCACGGTCACGAGGGCGTCATACAGGTCCATGAACATGCACTTGGTCAGGATCTGCGTCGAAAGGGGCGACATGGCCAGCTTCATGGCCGCGAGGCGCTCGCCAACCGTTTTCTGAGGTTTCGGGTTCTTGGAGTTTGGCGCGTCGGGTGTGTTGAGCGAGTCGAGGACTTGGGGTGTTGGAGGCAAGTAGAACGCTACGCCATCAAGAAGCAGCGACGGCAGGCCAACGATGCGACGCAACCGAACCAGGACAAACAAGACGATGAAGGCCGCCAAGTACGTGGGCGGCACGACCGGCATCGTCACGAGGCAAGCCGAGTAAGGAGGAGGCGACAATGTGCGGCTGGCCGAAACGTCAGCAAGTTCTCACCAAAGTGAAACTACTCACCAAATTGACCAGAACAGTATTTGTCTACAAAATGGCAAAGCCGTGGCGGCGGCGACGACGGCGGGCCGGCAGGGGTGGCCCGAGTCAGACGTCTTGCCGTCCCTGTGCAAATCGCTAGCGACTCGAAATGCTGATAATGAGCGCACTATAACATGGACATATAGGCTTCCTGGCGAAGCCCTGCGCGTTGACATCCAAGCATTGGAGCCGCACACACAACGATGCTTCACAGTCGCCCGTATCGGGGAATACAATGGTTGCGTCGATCCCGTTGCTACCCGACATGAAGACAAAATGGAAAACAGCCTTGGCAAGACATTTGTCGACCTGCTTGTAGTTCGCCACCCCTGGAAACGATTCCAGCCAGCCATGCTACCAAGAGCTGCAGACCAAGACACATTCACCGATGGCTTGGAAATAAGGTCTATACGAACACTGCGATCACTGCCGTAGCCATGAGCATAGAGCGTCTTCGTGGTCCCAATATCGAGCAAACAGGTCGTAAAAGAGCGGGTCGTACGCGGGGTTTTTGTTGCGCAGGATCGAGCGCGGCGTGCTCCACGGCTTGCCCACACCCAGCCCTGGCGAATAATGGTACACGTACGTGTGGGCCATCCGCTCCGCCTTGGACGTGAACGACCACACAGCGTTGTCGTTGAGCGTGTACGAAAGCACAACGTAATGGCTGGGAAGGTACCCGCAGTCAAGTCGGTACAGGTCATTCAGGACGTCCATGTCAAAGTAGTCGGGGCGCGGAGGAGACTCCAGCGCCTTCTCGAGGGCGGCAATCACCGTGTTGGATGGCGCAAACACGAGCAGCGTCGACCCAAACACGTAGTTTTCCGTGAGGTAGTACGCATGGGGAGCCCAGAACACGGCATCGCCCAGGTGAAACAAGTGGTCCAGATTGCGCTGGATCCACGCGTCCGAGTCGAGGTAGATGACCTTGTCGTACCCGCGCTCTTCAAAAATGCGCAGCTTTGTCAGTGA